ATTTGCTAACCCCTTAGCACTTGTCTTTCCGGTCACGCACAATCCAGGTGCAGCTTACATTTCAGAGCTGGTCTCCTGCTGGCTTCCCTATACTCTCCCTGCTCTGCCAAAGTCAGTCTACAAATCATTTGGCTGTTTCTCCCACATCTCTCTCTTCAATTTACAGTGTTTGCTTTTACACAACAAATTCCCTTTCTCAAATTTGATCTTTTCTTGACTGTAACACCTATAAATGAGCCCACTCATTCCACATTATTATCAGAAAGGAATTTCGAGGAATTGTGAATAAAAATGCTAAGCAAAGGCCATCTCTAAAGTTATCTTTTGTCCTACTTTCTGTGTATCTTCATTTTAGATCAAAACCCACTTAGCCTGTGACTCCAACATGATACAGACAGTACTGACAACCTGTCTGTACTGTGGCATGCTGTGCCTTCAGCCTCTGATGAGCAGAGATATTCTATCTGACAGAAAGACATGTAACCTGCACCCTGGGGGGTTGACTTCAGATTGTGGCCCAAAAGGTACTGCAAATTTGCAACACTATTAAGGCAGTGATAATCTATTACATGCAACCACAGAGAGATCCTTGCTTGTGACTCCTCAGGAAATCAGTCAGGTAGGGCACCTGCTCAGCTGCAAGAGGACTCCAGCACCAAATCGGATTTAAGGCTAATAAAAATTTTTACTAGAATATGAAGCAGAATAAGGGATCATAAAGAAGAAAACTGACATTTGCTGGGTAAAATGAAATTTTAGAAAAAATAAAGTTCTGTAAACCAAATTTCCTCTGCTCACGTTCTTGCGAATGGTTCACTTCTTCAGATCTGCTCTTAGTCCAGCAACTCTGTGATTTCCAGGATTGCAGAAAACTCTATAGGGTCATTTCTGGGGAGACACATCTTTTTATTTCTTAAGATCCAACTGTGTTTGTGCTATTGCCTTCTCTCAGGAGACTCCAACTTCCTGCATTTCCTTTCAGCTTTTTACTCGATGAGGCCTCCTTCCTCCTTTTTGCCTCACTGCCTGCCCTGCCCCCCCTGCTGGCACAGCTCCCCCAGAGGGCTCTACCATGCTGAGGGCACTTTGGGACAAAACAAACATGAGCTTCTACAGCTGAGCCAGCATGAAAGCACCTACACAGCCAACAGGTGTCAGCCCCCATGTTTCCACCAACAGTGATTCCAGAGTGAGCTGCAGAGTCAGCCAGACCTGCCAGAGATGTTCTGGTAAGCAGGACAAGACAACTGTGAAAAAGGCACCTGTCTATGAACACAGCTTGAACAGCCCAGTATGTCCTCTGGACAGCACTGTACTGACCCAGACACATTCCAGTCTCAACTACCTTTCTGAAGCTGCTGCCGTCATGTCTCCATGCTGTTTGTTCCCTGCTGCTGCTCCATTTTTCCCTCTTTTCTAGAATCACCACCACCACCTCTTCCTTACACGTCTAGTGTCACCAGCATCACTGGCTCCTCGTAAGAACTACCTGGGAATGATTCTGCTCCAGACTTTCTGGGAGGCTGACTGTTGGCTCTTCCAGGGCCCGTAACTAGACAATGGCACTTGAACTTGCCCTACATACACTTATCACCAACAGTGGTAACACATACTTTGACCAGTGGCATTTAAAGAAAATCCATTTAGAAATCCCCAGCATAACATCAGAACAACTCTGCAAATGAACAGTTGCTTTGGACCCTTAGGCTATTTCTCCTCTACCATGATTTTTCTCCTGGCAGCTGATCCACACTACCATCGAATCCAAAGAATCAAGACCCTGGCAGAGAGCCAAAAGCATAGTCTGAATCCCACCTGAAGGGATCTGCCCAGGGAGTAACAACTCCAGCACTCACAGCTATACTGCTTCATAAAGATGTCCAGTCTTGGAGGACATCATTTCAGAGATGATATAGATAGTTGAAACTGAGCTCAAGGAAGAAGAACACTGAAATGGTGCTGGCTGGGGTTGTGTAGTCACTATAGAGACCACAAAGTCTCTTTGGCTGAACACACACATGCAGAACCACTGCACTCATTTCACTGATCAGTACTCCTGGGTTCCACCATAATGTCAAGTTCATATTCAGAAGGCTCTCAAAGTGAGGTATTCTTCCATCTCCAGTTGAGCAACTCCATCTCATCCAGGTAGGAAATGGTACAAGTTATGTACAACTTGGTTACTTTGCAGTTTAAATAAAGTGGTGGCAAGAAGCCACTGCCCTTCAACAAATCTTGCAAATTTCTTAGCCACGCATGTTGTAGCACAGACCTGAAATCTGTTCTCCTTTCTGTTTAGTGGCTTCTCAGAGAACAGAAAAGCAATCAACCAAAACCTGTGGCCTTGTTTTTTACAGGTATGATTCTCACTAGTTGGGAGCAAAAAACTAAAGAGAAGACTTACAGCTCTAGGGCAAGGAGAAAACATCACACTTCATCTCTTCAGACACACTGAAACTTTACCACCCACAAAGACACCCTCAGTAGGGGGAACTTCATAGAGACTTGGTCAACATTGTGAATTGAATAGCCTCTTGTCCAAAAAAAAAAAAAATCAGTAAATGCTTGATCTGATTATTCTCTAAGCATAAGATACACATCTTTGACTTGTCTTCAGCAAAAGGAACTTGAAATAGCAATCATATTAAAACAAGAAGTCTTCTTCTAAGAGCATTGTATTTCACTTACAATTTCTCCTTGAGAAAACAAAAAGGAAAAATAGAATCCCATGTAACATGTCAGCGATGAACTCCTACACAGGTCTCAGCACAACAGGTGTGAAGCTCAAATGAAATCAAACACACCTAAGGCTGACAGGAGGCTGAGAGGAATGCTGGAGCAGCACAACTACAGCTTCTCTCTCCAAGTTCTTCAACATCACCTGCACACAATTCAACAGAGCTTTATGTGGAAGTAAATGGGTGAAATGCTGGAAATCTGTCAAATCCTTCAGAAAACTAATCCTGGTTTATAGTGCCACTTCTTTTTTTCAGTTCCATTAGTACTGAGCCCTTAAAAACTTGAGTCAGGAAACATGTGAAGGTCTCATGATCTGCGTGCTATTCCCCAGTCAAATCTCCATCAACTGTTGAAGTTAAAAGTGTCTTTCAGTGAACTCTCAGGCAAGACAAAAAAAACCTCCAGGACACTTCCTGGACAGTTGTGCTTGGGATTTCAATCAAACTAAGTTATCAGCAGATAGTCTATTGCTGACTGAACAAAGAAAATCTGGCTGCCAATCCTATGAGCAATATTGTGTTAAGAGCTCTCCAAACACATCTTAAGGATGGATTTCTATGAACCTCAACACAGCACAAAAACCTCAAGCAGGAAGCACATGAAAGATTAAAATATGTGTTTCTGTCTTTATTTAATATAGAGTAACTGTTTCACAGACTCAAAAAAACCCACTTTTTAGGAAGCAAAAAGAACAGTGGAAGCTAACATAGCATGGAGACTAAAAATCAGGAGAGTGAAAGAACAATGACCATGAATAACAAGTGTTAAATTCTGATCACTACAAAAGAATCAAATGAAACACAGAGTGCTCATATCAGAACTGAAATACTGAGGCATCTCTCACCCAGAGCAGTAGCAAACAGCTATATCAAAAAAATTAGCCAAGTAACTCAAGACAAAAAGAAAGAGAACAAGAACTTAAAAATGGCCAACCCAAATCAGAAAAAACAGTGACCTGGTAGATTACACAAGTATCAGGAATACTAACACGAACTAGACAATATTTACTGAGCTCAAAATTGCACCAACACATGCAAAACACCTGTAGACAGTTCTACAAAATTGTCAACAAGAACCAAAAAAAGTCTCAAAAAAAGTGAAGCAAATGTTATAGAGGAATAAAATGGAAAATAGTATGCACAACAGTTTATAAAACTGGTTACAGCAGCTTATTTGGCAGCTGCATACTGTACTTCCTCAGGAGAGAATGAGGAGGTGTATACTGACAGGTGGTAACAATCAGGTGCACTGAAAAATTCTTTCTCTGCAGTGATTGAGAGGGCTGATTTTTTTACCTGAGACCCTTAAAGTACTTGAAACACATATTTAAAATACGGACTGACTAAAGAAAGAGACAAGGTGTTTGCATTTTCCTTATGTCACAACACAAAAAGCAATAAAATTATGTTTCAGAAAAATAATGCAAATTCCCTCCTGGCAACTATCCGATAGCAATTCCTCTGTCATCTTAAAACCTGAAAGTGGGGAAAAGAATCTCAGTTTGCAAAACCAGGGAGTTGCGATGGTATTCTGATGCTACTACTCGTTTTTAACCTAGAAATGGAGAACCTGGGAGTAGATGATTTAGTTTGAGAAACTGCAAATATACACAGGTCTGTTAAACTCGATGTGCCACACCAGTTCACTGTGAAAGAGTGACAGTTCCTGGATGACAGTCCCTGGTTCAGGAGAGACCTAAGTACTGTCTGTGGTGCCAGGACTTGGAGTAGGAGCCTTGCTCACAGGATGGATCACATTACATCCCTCTTTCAGCAGGTGATGGCAACCCCTGATTCAAGCCTTGGGAAGAAAATCATCTCAGTCTTAAAATCATGTTTATGTCCATAACTGACTATCTCAAGCTTAGACAATGGAGAGAAATAGGCACCTTTTAGGGCATGATTTATCTATATTCTTTCAAATATCCACTTCTGTATGAGAAGAACAGTGCTCTGAACTCCACTGCCTACACGGACTAAATCTCTCGACAAAGGGAGCCCAGAGTGACTAGTTTATATAAATAAATACAATGTAGATGTCTATACTTAGCCAAATAAATCCCACTCCCAAAGTCCACAGTGGCCCTAGTTGTATAGACTTTCCATGATGCATTCCCCTTTAATGACATCGACGGCTCTGGAGTTGAGCCCTACGGTTTCTGTTTCCTTGGGGCCATGGAGTTGCTATATCCATCAAACAGCGTCTGCCTGCCTACCTCCTAAAAAGTCCTTTCTGGAATTCTCAGCATGTGGGTCTTCCATTAAATCTGTGCAAGGACTCTTGCAACAAGTGGCATTCAGCCAATGCCACTCTGCAGACAAGGAATTCTGAAGCTCTTGTGACAGATGCAGTCCAAGAATGCAGGACTGGCTGAAGAAGAATAGAGAGAACACAGCAATTCCCAAGCAGCAGAAAACAGACAAAGCAGGATCCAGACTGGAAAAGCTGGCAGCTGAGAGGGGCTGCTGAGAGTGGTGAAGGGAGCTGGCAGGTGGGGAAGGCTGTTTCCCCCTTCAACCAGTCTCACAACCCACAGGTCTCCTCACTTCTTGAGCAATCCCACAGCTGTCACCTGGTTCAACAGTGCAACTGTTCACAGGAGATCCAAGTAGGATCAACAGGCCAAACATATTTTACGCACTGTCCTCAAAGAAAAAAATGTTTAAAACACCTACCACTAAAATTTCTCCAGAATAATTAGTCTTCAGAGAGAAAAAAACCAGTCTGAGCAACACTAGACAATAGACCTGTGGTTCTCTAGCTGCAGACCAAATCACTGTGACCAACACTGTAACTGCAGTTCATAGAATCACAGAATGTTAAGGGACTGAAATGGACCTTAGAGATCATCTAGTCCCAACCCCCTGCCCTGGGCAGGGACACCTCCCACCAGACCAGGTTGCTCAAGGCTTCATCCAACCTGGCTGTGAACACTGCCAGGGTTGGGGCAGCCACAGCCTCCCTGGGCAACCTGTGCCAGTGTCTCACCACTCACGCAGTAAATAATTCCTTCCTAATATCTAATCCAAATTTCCCTCTTTCAAGTTATCCCCATTAGTCTTTGTCCTATCACTCCAGTTCCTAACCAAGAGTCCCTCTCTAGCCTTCTTGTAGGCTCTTCAGACACTGGAAGGTTGCTATGAGGTCTCCACACAACCTTCTCTTCTCCGGGCTGAACTTTCTCAGCCTGTCTTCATAGGGAAGGTGCTCCAGTCCTCTTATCAGCTTCATGGCCTCCTCTGGACTTGCTTGAACAGTTCCATGTCCATTTTCTGTTGGGGACACCAGAACTGTACGCAGTAAATTGCAGCTGATAATTCTGAGTGGTCCTGCATATTCCCTACATATTATCACATACCTTAGACAAATTCTTTTTTTTCCCAGAATTACAGTCCCAGTTTGTGAACCACTGTATTAAGGCAAATATTTCAAAATTACAAGAGCTTCGATAAGAGATGGAAATGCAGAGACAACTTTTATTGCTGTTACCAATGCTCCAACTATAAAAAAATGAAAACACTTAACATCAGAACAACCCAAATTTATCCAGGCTTAGTTCCATCTTGACAGGTCTTGACTTTCACAACTGCTACATGCTAGGACTATCTGCACATGGATTTGAAAAACATGTTTGATCACTCTCTAGATGATAACTGATATTTAAAATGTGTCTGCTGAGCCCTAGATGGAAACAGAATTATCTGTCTACAGTTTCTGTAGAGTGTTGAGTCTCCTATACTATTCCTCATCACAGACCTTGAATGCCTCCATTGCACAGCTTACAGTGGGCACCTCGTGTGCCTGTTAATTCCCTAGTTAAAGACTTTGAAACAGAATAAACAACTTTCTGCAGATTTGTGAATCTAAGTCCAAGTCTTCAATCACTTTTAAATTTGTCCAGGTTCCTAACTAATAATGGTGTTCTACCCATATCAAGAAGTAAGACAAATCATTACTTCTGAGCGTCCAATTTACTATAAATAACACTTTTTGACTATGAACTTGTGATGTAAACCATCCACACTTCAGTTTCCTACCTATCCAGGTACGTTAATGGAACTTAATTCTTTTTGGAAAAATATCAGAGCCTTCCACACCTTATCAGATAACTGTACAGTGACAGACACTGTGGTACAGCCAAGAACAACAGTTTTAATTCACAGCAGACATACAGCCACAGAACTCTTCATATGACAGAATTTACTACATGAATGAGCATGAGCACCCAATAGACTCATAAGAACTTAAATAAGACATGAAAATAAATTCTTTCCAATGGGAGTGGACAAAGATTGTAACAGATTACCTGAGGAGGCTGTGAAACCTCCAGCCTTACAGATTTCAAACTTCAAGGCCTCGACAGCCCCGTTTCGAGCAGGAGGCTGAAGCAAATGACTTCCACAGTTTCCTCCTACCTAAACCTTTCCAAGATTCAGTTGAATAGACTTGGAAAAATTAGGAAAAGAGTGAAGTGCTGGACTTGATCTAATGGAAATTGCAGAAAATGTCATCCATTCTTTTCTTACATGAGTAATCCTTTTACAGAATATGTGTACATTTTTGCAGGATCTTCAACACTTTTTCTGTAAGTAATTCTTCCCATTATATATTCTGTTATTCCACAAGTTCAGCTTTCAACTGAATTCAAATTGGAAATTTGATATATCTCTTCAGCACACCCCTCTAATCTTTTATTTTCTTGTTTTTAATCATTCCAATACAAAGTTCCAAAACCAGTGCTTATTTATCCTTAAGCTACTATTTCCCTTATTAAAGGCTTTCAGAAGATAGAGCCGGTAATATCCACAGAATTTTTCCCACCACTTTTCCATGCATGCTGATCCCCAGCTGCTTATTCTTAGGAGTTTTGTTTGACCCATTCCAAAACATTCCTGTTAACAAAACTTTTAATGGAACGATCATTCTACCATTTAATACAAGAATCATTTCCCCCCTTTAACTCAATCTACAAATTTTTCACAACATACCTTCATTGGCCTCTTCAGCGCTTCCTGGATATCCACGCGCTTCCGCATAATGGTCTGGTCTAGTTTGCGTTCAAAGGCCAAGAGATCCATGTAGGCCTGGGACTCAGGAACCAGCTCCCGGATCTGAGAAGGAAGCAAGGAATATCCAAGCACTGGAAGCACAAATCTGCCATGCTCCAGAGCAGCAATACTGACACCTTCCCAGCCCTCAGACAGACATGCTCAGGAGTTCTCCCTCCAACTGCAGTTCCCAGACAGCAAGGCTGACCTCAGTGGCATGGGACAAGCACAGACTGAACTGAGGCTGATGGATTCTGGCAGTGCCTGGCTGGATCCACAAGGCCTGAATCACGGCTGCTTTTTTTCAAGTGAGGCCTCACTACGAGCAGCCAGGGAGACATTGCTCTTGGCAATCCACAGTAAATTCGTCCTGTTCAAACTAAAGAGTCCTGCATCTCTCTGGACTAAAAAATAGGGAGTGTTCATGCTGATGTTTCAAAAACAAGTGTTACCCACTGTAAGTTAAAGCTGCCATGCAGGAAGTCAGCCTTCACCAGCACATCTTCCCAGCTGCGGTGAAATTGACCTTCATGTCAAAGTTTCAACATGACCAGCTATCAGGTGTCAACTTATGATCCTGCCAAATTTTATTGATATTTTAATACATTAGTTAAACTATTGCCAAAACCCCTTTTTATTTTCTCCTTTACAGAGAAGTTAGCAGAGGAGTGGATATGAAGTAGGCTGAAAGGAAGACCTAATGATCTGAGCTTAGAAATGGGCAAGAATACCCGTAAATGAAAAAGTTTGTTCTTAATTTGGAATACCTCATGCAGGCAAACCATAAAAGAAAGGAACTGTAAGTAATTACAATAAATCTACTGGACTTCCTTGTCTGTATCTACAATATTCATCCTAGTTTTCACCTAAATAACTGAAGTATTGAACTATTAGAATACACTGTAGGAATTAAAATCCAGCTGGTATTCCTGTTTTGCTCTAGAATCAGAAGCCTACAGCTAAATTTGGTGTAAGACGCAGACACTTATGTGAGAGACACCAGGCATACACCTGCTCCCTGTGCTCTGCAAGGACATGAGAACTGCACAAGGACATCTCAACAGTCACCTTTCCTAGTATTGTGTCTCTGGCAGTGTTTAAAAGTTGCTTCCTCTTAGTACCCACAACAGCCCGAGGCGCTCCAGGCCCTCCACAGGCAGTGTGGGAGCAAAGTACCTCCTTTTGCTCATCTGGAACCTGCCCCCACTGAGCTTCATTTGATGCCATCCCCTTGCACTGCTGGAGCAGCAGTGGGCAGGCATTCCCTAGGCATCTTCTCCATACATTTTACAGGGTTTTGTCATCTCTTTCTTAATAATTTTCTTTTCCAGCCTGAAGATGAACAATTCCTCCCTGCTGTATTTAGACTGATCAAGATTATCAAATAAATGTCTCTTTCAACCTAGTCTATTTGTCCGTTTTGAGTTGCTTTGGAGAAGTAGAAAACAGAGAGCCAAAAACTCTGTTCAGCTTTAGCTGAACCATTATAATTTTAACTGTTTGTATTCTTTCACAAAATATTAGTATCAGTAGAACAATAAAAGAACATGAACATTTTTAAGAGCAAAGCATGAAGAGCAAGCATTACCCTGGAAACACCAAGGAGTTGCCAAACGGCTTGCAAAGTAAGGACAGATAGACAGTGCTTCCTCCTAGTAAGTACAAATCTTTGGATCCAACAAAACACCCCAGTGCTTTTATCCTGTCTCACAGATGAAAAGATTCCTCAGTTCCTTGCCTGAGGAAATTAATTGTGGTGTGCTGCAGACAATTAAAAATTCTGGACCAAGAAAATAGTTTCAGACCTTTAACACCAAGTTCCATCAGTCAATTCAGGAACCCTCAGGCACATGGTGAAGTAGGGAGAGGCCTACACAGCCCTTAAAATACAGCCTATACCACACAGGTGGTACAAGCTTTCCAGCTGGTTAGCAGGGTGCTAGACCCAGGATCCAATGAAATTTCTACTAAGTTTGTAGAAACAGCAGTAATCTTCAATAAATATTTCTATTCCACACTTCTATGTCTTTTATAACATGAAAGTGAAAGAGTAATCCCTATTCCATTCTTATAACCAAACTAGATGTCAAGTATTAGAAGACATTAAAAAGCACAAACACTTTAAAATTAGCCAATGAAGTGCATGCTGCATGTAATTCCCTGAACTGCACATGGCTGCAGGTTGGAGAGCATTTCATAGAGGAATTGTACTTCTTGTATTTGTATTCTTCTCTAGGGATGTGCTATGGTCACAGCAAAGATAGGATATTGGGCTAGATCAACAGCTTGCTCAGGCCCATTTTGGCAGCTCTTATAGGCTTTTGCTTTCTCATCATACAATTGGAATAATCTTTTGAAGGCATGATAATGTTCCAGTTTCATATCCTTTCCCAATTTCCCCTCAAGAAAATTAAAGAGGAGCCACAGCAGTATCACATCACAATGAAGAACTTGCTCTGGTTTTGGTAAATCTTAGCTCAAAAAGATACTCTCACGCTCCAGCCAGTAGAACATAATTCATTTTCTCTTTTCTTCACAGGTAACTGAACTCCAGTTGTCTGGGTGTTGATGTGATAAGGATCTGTGCAGTCTACCTAAGTCCTCCTTCTTGCATGGTTTGCCCTAACTGAAAAGTTCATAGCTCCATGCAAGTCCCCACTCTTCTTCTACAAAAGTTCTAATGTGTAAAGAGTATTTTAATAGTCGAATTCTTCATGCTGGTCTTTATCTGAGGAAACTCCAGAAAGCACCTAGCAGCAGCAGCATCTCATCACCAAGGTTTTGAAGCATGTATGATACAACCTGTCTTAGAATTACAGGGATAACTGGAAGAGATTACTACTAACATTAGAAAGACAGTGTCTTTCTAGAGGCTCTTTCCTATTGTGCGAATTCAAATGCTCCAAATTATAAAAAATAAATAAGAACAGATTGTTATTAAGTTATGCACCTTTATGCTTGCTCCAGGGTTTTTTTTATTGATGGTGACAAAAGAGTGGCAAATTTACAAGTGGGGGCAGTGAGGACAGTGTGGAGGGAATGACACAACAGGAGAGGTTCTCACAATTGCTTTGTAGAAGCAGCACAACGTGGGGGCCCCACAACACCTGTCTGTGAACAGATGTGCAAGAATCAGAAACCAGGGAACAGCTGCAATGCTACAAATTCTGGGAGATGAACAACATCATGGGATAGCTTCTATGGCTGCCACAGTACCACAGCTTGGAAGGCAACAACAGCAGGCTGCAGGCTAGGGAAGGCAATGAGAAAGCCTTCTGCAAGTGGCTCAGCAGCAGAAGGAAGGCTAAGGAAAACCCAGGCCTGGATCTGGTTTTGATGGTCATTGTCAAAAGCCTCAGAGAAGGCTGTGGCACGCTGTTGTCTTTGGCTTCATTTCTCCTGGTTAAGTCCTGTCCTCAGGCCTCCCAGGGCCCTGAGCCCCCATCAGAGTCAGGGCAGCACAACTGTTCAGAGGGACCCTGACAGGCTGCAGGAACATGACAGCAGTTCAAGATGGTAAAGTTCAGCAAAGGCAAAGTTCTGCTCCTGGGACAGAGTGACAGCATGTGGGAGGACAGGTGGGCATCAACTGGGTAGGAAGCAGGTTTGCAGGCAAGGACCAGGGGGCCCTGATGGATGGACAACAAGCAGAGAAGGAGTCCCTGGGGTAAGCCAGAGGTGACAATGGTCAGCTGCAAAATGGGCTGTATTAGTGCAGGTGTTGCTATCAAGCCCAAGAAATATGCTCTTCCTTGTTATACCACACTGGTGAAACTGGATTTGGACTGGTGGGCACAGGACCACAAAGATGTGACACTCTGGAGCGAGGCCCACAGACGCTCAGTAGGATGTTGGAGGCTGGGGGACAGACATGTCAAGAGAAGCTGCAAGAGCTGAGATTGTCCAGACTCGAGAAGAAAGGTGAAAGGGAGATCCTCTGGGTGAGTTTGACTGCTGTATGGGCCGGTGAAGCACAGACAGAGCCTGCCTCCCCTTGAGGGGACCACAGTAGTGTGACAGCCAACACAAACTGACTGCAACATGGGCAACTCACTCCTTGTAAGGGACTGTTTTTTAAAAAAAACCCAAACCTAAACACATGATGGTGTCAAACATCTGAACAGGCTGACAAAAGATGCCAACGGGTGTCCATCCTTGGTTGGAGGTATTCAGAGCCTGGCTGGACAAGGTCCTGAGCAAGCTGATGTAATTTGAACCTGTTTTGTGCAGCAGTTGGCCTGCATGACTTCCAAAGGTCCTTTGGATCCAAATTATTTTGTGATTACTGAGGCTTAAACAGTTGTCTACACAAATCGTGCCTTTGCCAGATATTCAGTGAATCCTTTGTGTGTTTGAGGACTAAGAGGTCACTTTCTGCCTGAATGTTATAGAGACTAAATTACAGCTCTTTTTTATTTTATTCTAAGCAACTGCCCATACATGTTATATGTACTACGTGTATTGTAAGTAAAATGCACAAGCAATAGATGCAAATTACGAGCACATATGCAAACAAGGCTTACAGTTCCTCAGGAGGGTTACCAAGGAATTGATGGAAATGCTAATCTATCTAATATCCTTAAGTATATTTAAACATATCTCCCAATCAAAAACTGTGAAGGACATTAACACTGGCCACAAGTAAATGAAAACAGAGCAGCCATACAGCAACAGGGACTCTCCACAAAGCTGGGCTACTCAAGCAAACCTTTTGTATGCAGCCAGATATAACCCAGTAACAACAATCACCTTTCCAGAACACAGACTAACTTCAACACCTCTGAAATCAAGAAATTAAGGTCTACAGTTCATCTTTGTCCTTCCCTTACTTCGGACAGAATCCTGGAATAGGTTGGGTTGGAAGGGACCTTTAAAGGCCATCTAGTCCAACCCCCCTGCAATGAGCATGCATGTCTCTAACCACTAGGAATGGCTCATTTGTCAATACCAAGCAAACAAACAAATAAGTCAGGGATAACTGAACTTCTGAAATCCTCAATTCAAACAGGTAAACAGTAGTATTGTAATAGATGAACTATCTGTGGCTGTGGGAGAGGTCAAGGTTGAGAGACAGAAGAATCTTTTCTTTGGT